GAAATATTCAAAACTATTCTTAAACAGTATTTTAAAATTTTATGTTAAATATTCTCTGCTCTTCTTGAGAATAAAAGATAAAAATAATCTCATGAAGTCTTTTTTATGCTTTTATGGTTCTGGCATTCTGAACTCACAACTAGGCCCAAAAGTTTCTTATTTACTAAAAATATTTGAGCACAGCATTATAAGGTTATTACAATATTCCAATTTTTCCTATCCTTCTAAGAACATAATTTGGTTTAGACAGAAGGTTATTAAATACTTGAGTGATTTACTATGAAAAATTCTGGACTGTCTTTCACTGGGTTTGTGGAAGAAAAAAAAGGAAAGAAAAGATCAAAACTAGACTGTTCTTCCACATCCTCTACCATTAGTACTGCCACCAAGAAAACACCAAAAATTAGCTAATCGATGCCCCCATATACCTATATTTTTAGATTGTTTTATTTATTGATATAAGTGCATAATGTTTGCAGGAATTGATTTTAGTAATGATTTACAGTAGAATATCCGGTAAAAAATAATTGATTCACTTTTGGGACTTTGGTTCCTATAGTAATCAAAGTATAGGAATATACTGTAAAAAATTCACTTGAAGTTTTCCACTCATACTCTGTAGTAGCAAATTGAATGCTTCTTGTTATCATCCATAACTTAACTGTCAGGATTTTCTAGGGTTGTAATAGAAAACCAGTGATTTCAGAAAGTCATTAAATAACTATTAGAGAAAGTAAATAGTGTTAATAAAATGTGAACTCAGAACTTTCTGATTATTTTCTTAGATAAACTCTCAGTTTTGCACTTTTTAGATTAGAAGAAATTTTTAGACTTGATTGATGCCCTTTTTTACAAATCAGAACATATTATAGTTCTTATCTGCTTATTCTAAATTTATGATGGACATACTTGACTATATGATAAAATAAGATACATCACATCTTAGTTCCAAAAGCTACCTTTTGTAAACGAGACTTAGAGATTTAGAATGAAATGCAAGGCCATGTCAGTATATATCTTACCTTCTAAAAGCTCTCTTGTAGCCTTCTGTTTAGAACCTCTTTTGGCTTTTAGGTTATTTAAAATGTTCAATGTTTACTCATTCACTAAACTAATTATATAGGTATAATGTATTTTATACAGGCACTATACAAAGCACAGAGCTGGAATGATAAACCTGACAATATATATGTGTATATTTCTCTATTCATTCAACAAATATTTATGGAGCATCTACTGTATGCAAGTACAATATTAGGAACTTCTTGATACAAGGGTGAACAAAACAGACACAGTCCCTGCACCATTTATAGTCTAGAAAGTAAGACATTAATTAGATAATCATACAAATGAATGCAAAATTATCACTATGAAAAATGCTATGAAGGACAGATGAACAGTGCTATCAAAGGTCAAAAGGGGATTTGAGTAGTCTTTGGAGAGATGAAACAAGGGCTGAAAGACTTCTCTAAGAAACTGACTTTTGAATTGAGAGGCAAGTGATTATTGGAAATTATGTAGTTGAAGAGGAGGATGTGAGAAAGTTCCGTAAAGCAGAGATAACATATAATAAGTCTTGTACTGTAGAGAGTGTGAGTTACTTGAAATGAAAGCAGGTGGTGTGGCTAGAACACAGGGAGCAAGGAGGAGTGAGATGCAAGATAAGGCAGGAGAGTGATGGCAGGTGCCAGGCCAGTCAGGGCCTTTTAAACTTGACGTCTTTTTCTCCAGAGCAATGGGAAGGCTTTGAGAGATGGTAAGCAGTGTGGGGATGGGGGCAAAGGGCGTGAAAGGATAAGATTTGTTTTCCCAGAAGATTGGTAATAGAAGGGACTGAAGAGGGAAAAGTGTGAATGAGGGAGATCAGTTCGAGGCTATCGGAGTATTCCTGGACAAAAAGGCTTGCATTAGGGGAGTGACAGTAGAAATGGAGAAATGATGTTATGAGCGTATACCACACAAAGGATCTATCTTTTGAGGGATTTTTATTATTCTCTGAGCAAAAGTTTCCAGTTGGAGATCTAAAGAAGTATAATTTGTTGCCTCTCCTGGCAATTATCCCACTATCCTACTGTTCCACTTGTTAAGCTTGCAATTTCAAAAGTTCAATGATAATTATATTATTGGTACTTATTGATAGTTGTCTTGATAATAGGACAGTACTTGATGGTGACCCATTACATCCTCAGTTTCTGGGGTTGCCGGGGTGCACCTGCAACTTGATGTGAACACTAAACCTTCTCTTATTGAAATGTTATTTTCCCTCCTGAGTTTTCTCCTCCTCTTCCTATTATTATTATAGCTTTTTTTTTTAAAGAATGTCATGTAATGATGGTGTCATGGTATCTTATATTGGCTTATCAATGATATATTTAAGTTCTTGTTTTCCTTAATGCTTAATTACTAGATAGCCTATTATCTCCTGAGGAAAAAGCTTTAGGTTATAGAGTTACATGAGCAGGGTTGTTGTCTCCCAAATTCCCTCATTTTTCTCTTGTTCTGCTTTTCATTGAAGTTGATTGACTTACTCTCTCTTTAGTGTAAAACACTGGAAAATAAGTGAATTTATCAGTGATTTGTAATAACTCTTTACAATAACCTCATCAGTTATTTATAAAAGTGGTTTATGTACCAAATGAGCTTTGGTGAGAATAATGTGCTTTACACATTGATTAGTTATGAAATAAACAGATTTCACATCTTTGAATTTCAGTACATTTCCCCATTAATTTAGGATAAATTTTGATGACATTTTGCAAAGACCCTTAATAGCTAGAGAGTGTTAGAAGTCATGAAGGAAGAATTGCAGCTGGAAACCAGTAAGTTTAAAAAAAAAAAAAAAGAAAACTTTTTTTCCCCGATAATGTGTCAGTCACTTTAGAAAGTTGAAAATACAACATTCAGTGAACAAATGGCACATTTTCTATTTATCTTTAACCCCACCTATAAGCCTCTAGCCAATTCAAAAGCTGTGTCCTGTCCATCAGTAAAGAGATGGTGGCTCACCTTCTTTAGGGCTAACTCTTCTGTGGGGAGGGGAATAAGGGCTCATTAACAACTAAAGAATTATAAATAGAGGGCAGAGTTAACTGTGCTTCAGAGTTAACTCCTGGAATAAAAAAAGCTTTTCATTTTCTCTAGACGCTATGGAAGCAATGTCTTTTTTAAGGAACCAGTATATCTGCCTAAAGGTGTTTCTGACTTGCTGGGAGAACCTCTTTTTATGCTGGATCTACTCCTGCCTTCCTGGATTCTAGCATCCTGACTTGACTTCCTATATCAACCACCTTCTGAAACCTGTCTTCTACCTGACCTGACTTACTTCTCTGCCAACCACCTGCCCTACCCAGTGCCTACTTTGATATTGTCTATCATCTGTGCCTTCTGCTCACCCTTGACAAAATAGCCCAACTCTGTGGCTCTTTCTCAAGAGCCGACTGTTACTTAGCACTGATACACTTCTTACAGAAAATAGCATCCAGGATATGAGATTGGACCTGTTAGTTTGAGAGTAGTGGTATATCTTAAACCTTTCTCAGATCTTTAGATTTCTTACTAACTGGGACTTAAGGTATTTTTGACTAGGGCTCTCTGAAGACTAAAGTTAAGATTTTAGGGGCTCCTGGGTGGCTCAGTTGGTTAAGCGTCTGCGTTCGGCTCAGGTCATGATCTCAGGATCCTGGGATCCAGCCAGGTCAGGCTCCCTGCTCAGTGGGGAGTCTGCTTCTCCCTCTCCCTCTGCCTCCCCCCACCTTGTGCTCTCTCTGAAATAAAATCTTAAAAAAAAAATAAAGTTAAGATTTTAAAAGTGGAATAGTTATTGTCACTTCTTTTTCCCTGTACTGGTCTGGCCAGTAGTACATACTCAAGTATTTGTTGATTGTATTATAGTCACCAAATTCCATATTTAATTCTCTTTGGTGTCACCAACAAAAGCCATTCAGCTGCCTTTATTTCTGATTTCTTATTACTATGTAAAGCACTCTTAAATTGCTTTCTTTATCCACAAGCTAGCAGAATATTTTATAGCAGCCATAAATATGATTTAAAACCAATGATACTGCTATAGAAAAATCAGATTTCTATTTACTGTTAAACACTAATTCTACTTAAGTCAAATAACGTACTTAGAACTTACGTGTTGATTAGCAGTACAATGTATGGCAGATTCACTTGATATTAAAATACTAAATTGACTAGTTTCTGTCTATATAAATAAGGTTGAAATCGGTACATTGTAGTACCTGAAAAACTTAATTATTTTATATACACATTGTAGTACCTGAAAAACTTAATTATTTTATATATAATATACTGGTATAAATGAAATAAAATTTATGTGGCACTGAGCATTAACTTCCTCCTGATATTATGATTTTTAAAAGAATATTTAAATATGTTTAAAAATTAATATGAAGAATGTTGACATTAATGTGTTTATTTTTATGTGTAGTTTGTGTAATCTATTTCAGTATTTTATAGTTGTGGCTTCTATATCATCAGAAGTTTAAAAAAACTCCTAAGACATAGTAGGATTGCATCTTTGTTTCAGAATTCACTGAAATGGTATGTAGTGTTTATTTTAGAGCAACTAATGATACAGTATGGGATTTTAGCCTTTTGTAAGCCTGTAATCTTATGTAGTTTCACCCATATGCAAAAAGAATATGATATAAATAGTTACAGCGCTGAACAACATGCATGAATTATTGATTTACAGTGAACATGTACATTGTACCAGTGAACTCATGTGAGCATTTCTAACCTATGGGATGTTTGTTTTACAGGAGAAAATAGAAGTAGAAATTATTTTTACAACTTGAATATGTAAATCCCCGTTAATACCAATTCTTTTGCCAGTTGTTACCACAAAATTGGCTAAAATTAATACTCTTCTGTCATAATAGATCAAGGCAATTTACATTTAGTTTTCTTTGTCTTTTTTATTTGTTTGTTTTGTTTTATTCTCTCCATTCCCCAATTATTTCATGGCATTTCAGTGCTTCAGAGAATTTAGATGAGCTCTCTTCCTCCAGTAGCTGGTTACTTAACCAGAAGCACAATAAGAAAAGGAGAAAAGACAGGACAAGATTGAAATCTCCATCCTTGGCTATCATGAGTACAGCTGCTCGAACAAGGCCACTTCAGAGTTTCCACAAACGAAAACTCTACCGATTGAGCCCTACTTTTTATTGGACACCGCAGGTAAGGCTGCCTATGGGAAAACATGAACAAAGATTTTGTCATCAATGTATTTCACATACAAGAGGATATGGATTGTACCTGACTATTTAGAATAATTACATCTAGAAAGCTTTAAATATATAGTTTATAAATGACATAGGTATTGACAATATATAAGTGGAATTTAATAAATTTTTTAACATGACAATGTATTAAACTTCTCACATCTCCATTTTTTTTAAAATGCATTGTTATGCTTAAACTAATTTGAAGGAAAATTACATATCGTGGTGATTTTAAAATTTTACTGGTAAGGGTAATAAGGAAAATACAAGTGTACTACATATTTGTCTTGCTTAGTAAAGAAAAAAGTAAAAATCTGCATAGCTGCCAGTTACTTCGTAAGAAATGGCATCACTCTCCTTTTTCGGTTTGGTATTTGTTAATCCTGGAGAGCATGCCTTTTCCTTTGTCTGGCATATAAGCAATGCAATTTTATATATCCATGCTTACACTTTTTACAGTGAAAATGTACTTCATTAAAACCATGCATTTTAAAAAGCATATTTTTCATTTGTTAGCAGAATGTTAAATCTACATCTTTCAATACATATCTAAAACTGATAAAGGGCAAGATAAGTTACCTCTAGTTTTTGTTATATGACATGCTTTTTAGGAAAGTTTTTTAATAGGAAAATATTTTTATTTAAAATTTTTATATAAAAATCGTATTTTTAATGATTTTTATTTAAAGATGCTGTAAGCAATAGATATATAATATTTTTGAAATTGAGTCTAATTTCATAATTATAATAGAATTGTTTACCTAAAATATGGAATCTTATGAATATGCCATAATATTCTGACTGGAAGGAATTTGCTTGAATAATTTAGGGGATTTGTTAGCTGTTATTAGAATACTTTATATGCCCTGAGATTGTAAAGATCGGCCTTCATTCAGCAAACCAAGGAAGAAACGAGTGTGAGATTATCATTACTAGTAGACCATATACTTTATCATATTCCAGTCATTATGCTAAGCATTTTCAGTGCATTATTTTATTGTTATCTCAAAATATAATTGTGAGATGTTGTTAATCCCCCCTTGAGATGCAGAAATTGAGGTGCAGAGAGATTAAGTAATTTGCCCAAGGTCACACAGCTTGTAAGGAAAATGTCTGATTCCAAACCCCATGTTCTTACTCATTGTATTGAGAATGACAAAAATAAACCAAATCTTTTTTGTTTTTGAAATCAGTTAAGACAGTATATTTCGGGGTTGGGGAAGGGGCTTATCTGGTTAGAGGTATTAAGATATGCATCATAAAATAAGGGCTTTGAAAGACAAACAGATTTTTGAAAGGTTATGGGAGAGTTAGAGAAAGAATTTTAAGTATATAGGAATAGAGATGATAAAAATGATGGAAAATAACAGATGTCCTCACCCGTAACTTATCCCCCAAATTGCCAGGATATTTAGTTGCCAATTATTTACCTTTCTAAACTTAATAAATGTCCTTTCTCTCAGGAAGCCTTCCTTGACATCCCCACTATGGGATATTAATATAGCCCCTTGTTATAAAAATAACTCATTATTTTATTATTATCATTTATTTTTCTGTTTTTGTCATTACATTGTAAGTTCTTAGAGAACAGGGACTATGTATTTCTGAACCTACAGAGCTTTGCACAGTAACTGTCCCAGTAGTATATGCTCAATAAGTAATTGTTTGATGTATGAAAGAATTAATGTAGTGGACACAGGAAGATATTTAAAAGGTAATGGAGAGTGAGAACTTACAAGTGTGTGTATGTGTGTGTGTCCTCAATTCACTTTGTGAAAAGATCTGTAACAGTAAGTAATATCTAATAGAATTTTCTTGTAAGGATGGAAGTGTTCCATAAATACCTGTGCTATCCAATACAGTAGTAACTAAATACATGTAGCTATTCAGTACATGAAATGTGGCTAGTGCAACTGAGGGACAGAACTTTCTATTTTATTAATTTTGATTTAAATAGCCACATATGGATAATGGCTACCATACTGGTTATGACCACTCTAGACTCATACCCTGAGAGCAGTGAGTACATAATGGTACTCATTCTTGTTTTCTAATACCATTCATTCCCTGTTGAAAGGAAATAGGGGTGTTTGAAAAAATGGCTGATCTCCAGATATGGGGAAGAGAGGGTATAAGATGAGCTTGGAACATCTCAATGTTACCAGAAAGCAAGGTAGTGTTAAAAAAAATGTTGGGGGGGGTGCATATCAAAAAACCCAGAAGCTAGTTTGAAGAGGCTGCCACTGGCCAAATTTAGGGCTATTTGAGCATCAGAATAACTAAGGACAGTAATGAACCATTGAAAAAAGGAAACCATGCATCCATACTGCTGACAGTTAAATTGATAGATAAAAAGGAGAAAGGGAGGACTTTCCCATATAGTAGAATGCTGATTAATAAATATGGAGTGAGCACAACTACAGAATTATTGCAGTGATCATGGTAAAGACTGATTAGGAAAGAATCATCAATGGGTGATCAAAACTAACATAGCCTATGAGAAGAATACAGTTTCAGTATGCCATATTTTGGCCAGGGATGGATGGCCGAATTTAATTATAAGGAAATATCAGACAAAGCCAAAACCAGCAGCATGTTATTAAGAAACAGTGAAAAGTGGCCTTCTTCAAAAAGAAAAAGTCAATGTCATGAAAGTCAAGAAAGACTGAGGCAGATTGAAAGAGACTTTAAAAAGATGTATGACAATTAAATGAATATTTGATCCAATCAGAATTCTTTTAGGGGGGAGAGGGGATTCTTGGGACAATTGAGAAAACTGTGCCTTTGGTGGTAGATTATATAAAAGTATCAATGTTGAATTTCTTTTTTTTTTTTTTTTTTTAAAGATTTTTTATTTATTTATTCATGAGAGACAGAGAGAGGCAGAAGGAGAAGCAGGCTCCCAAGGAGCAGGGAGCCCGATGCGGGACTCGATCCCAGGACCCTGGGATCATGACCTGAGCCAAAGGCAGACGCTTAACCATCTGAGCCACCCAGGCGCGCAATGTTGAATTTCTTAAATGTGATAACTGTTTGCCATTATGTAAGAATATGTCCTTATTTTAGGAAGTACACATTGATACATTAAGAAGTAAAGTGGCTAAGGCATCCATTTTATTTATTTTTAAAGATTTATTAATTATTTTAGAGAGAGGAAGAGGGAGAGTGCAGGGGTGTTGAGGGGCAGAGGGAGAGAGAGAGAGAGAGAGAGAGAGTCTTAAACAGACTCCAGGCTGAGTGCAGAGCCTGGCACCCGGCTTGGTTTCAGCTCAGGTTGTGATCTCAGGGTCGTGAGATCAAGAGTCAGATGCTTAACCGACTGTGCCACCCAAATACCCTAAGGCATCGTTTTATGTAATAAATTAACTCCTATGCTTGTGGAATGGTACTAGTTATGTAGCATCCTTGGTAGAATTGAGAAAATAATTTATTTTCTATAACGCTTAATTCTCTAGCAAAGTACTGGCTGAGAAAAGCTTATATTAAAGGCAATGGAGAGGTGGGGAGTTCTGCTACAACGTAGCATATAATAATTAGCTGATCATCACTCTCATTGCAACAAGTACATGTATAATTGCAGGAAAAGAAATCATCATACTAGTAAAGACATTAGCAAGACATCTGGTTTCAGCTCCAACACATAAAGAGAAGTCATCACTTCTACCCTTATAAGAAAAAGTGAACAAACTGAAAATCCGTGCTTTTCATGGACCCATCAAAGAATTGAGGTTACAGTACAAACTGCCACCCTGAAATATGGGCAGAAAAGTAACTCCAGGGAGCCACAGCCAAGATGTGCCTACTTGGAGCAGAAGCCACAGCAACCATAAACTTAACTGGTAGGAACACTTAACTGGTAGTTTTGATGAATTACTGGGGGCTGCGTATAGACTAGACTAGCTTGAGAGTGAAAAACTCCTGGGGACTATAGTCTTAAAAGTCCCTCCACACGTTCATGGACTTTACTTCTAGGCACCCCATTATGTTCTCACAATGAAGATCCTCAGTGGCTGTGGTGTGGAAGAGGAAGGGATAACTTTTATGAAATGAACCCAGAAATTGTAACACAGCTTTTTCTTCCAGGGAAAAGACTTTAGTGAAGTCTTAGCTTACCTGTGAGAAAAGCACTTTTTCCGCTGCTGCCCCCTGTAGTCTTTCTGTCTCACCTAACGGGCATTGAGGGTGGAAAATAAGAAACATTTGCTGAAGTCACAGACCCACTAAAAGACTAAGATTTAATCATAAGATTATAGTAAATTATGCTACTGTGGTAGGTATGCTTCCTTTCTTTTTCTTTTTTTTAGAGTAGGCTCCATGCCTAACATGGAGCATCAACTCACTGCCCTGAGATCAAGAGTTGTAGTCTCTACTGCCTGAGCCAGTCAGGCACCCCTGGTGTGCTTCCTTTCCTCCTACTTTACCACCACACCAACAAGATTCTGGTACTATTAACAGTAGGGTACAGCTGCAAAGTATAGACTGTGAGGAGCAGTGATTAAGGAAGTTAAAAGTCAACAGGGAAGACAAAAACAAAGATACTAGAGGAATTTTGAGTCCTCTGGCACTTAAAAATATAGCAGATATCATACACAGCCCACTCCTAGCCAGATTAACATAATGCCTCACAATAAAATTCTTTTTACCTCAGGGTGTCTGGCTGGCTCAGTCAGAGGAGCATTCAACTCTTGATCTCCGGTTGTGAGTTCGAATTCCATGTTGGGTGTAGAGATTAATTAAAAAAAAAATTCTATTTACCTCAGATCCTGTTACCAGATACATCATATACAGCTTTTAACAAAAAATTATAAGGTATGGTAGGAACTCTGAAGAGACAAGGAAACCATCAGAACCAGGCTCAAATATGACAAAGACGTTGAAATTCTCTTAAATAACTATGATTAATTTGTTAAAGTCCTAAGTAGAAAACAAGTAATGTATGGGTGCTATAAGCAAAGA